TCCTAGTTAAGGTCCCGGAACATAAAACCAGGACGTAGCACCTGTCACAAGGAAGACTGGGAGACAGCTACATAATGCAATTAAGGCCAATCGGATTGGAATTTGTAGGCCGCCAGCCCCGATCAGCTGTGCCTGTAGATTACAGCCTCGATTATGTCTTCTCCACCATCACCTTGCGCCTCCTATAATTTCTGAGCACATGAAATAAACATAATGTCAAACAGGCACTGATCGAGATAGATGGACGGTGTTAATTTCTTTACAGTCTCTGGTGTTAGGGGCTGAAGGGCTGAGCAGCCGGGTCTCTGAACACAAGAAGGTTGGCGTGGCCGCTGGGCCATCTTTAGTTCCAGAAGCCTCTCTTTTCTTGCTGGTAAAATGGGGGACATCTCTCTGCCAGAAGGGCTTTTGATGTGTTTGTTTTTATATATTCCTATTAAGTGAAACAAACAAACAAACTATTCATTGGGAAAAAAATAGCAGTTTTTATTAAACGAAAAGAAAAGAATAAGAGTTCATTGGGGGTGGGTGAGCAGGGTATTGCTTTTACTATCAATAAATAAATACACATGGGTAATTTTCTTCAGGGTTATGGGAGCTTAACAGGGTCATGAGTGTCTGAGGGAGACCTGCCCATGCCTACACATCCAAGTGCACCAGAGGCAGACCAAACGCCCAGCCCCTGTCATGAAGGTCATTGTGCCCACAGTGATACCACAGACAGAGTAGAACTGCCCTCTGGGGTTTCCGAAGCAATAAATCTATCCAGGACCAGATGTGGAGAGGCCAGTGTGTTCCACCTGCCAGCCACAGCCATCGAGCACCTCCCCGCTGCACCACCTGGGCCCCTTCCACCAGTCACAGTCATCGTGAACATGTGTACTTCACTCTCCATCTGTGAAATTAGTGTCTCCTGTCACCATTGCCCAGGGATAAACAGGGACCTTGGGACCAAAGCTCACAGGAGCAGTGTCCTGAGCTTGCCAGCTTGCCAGCGGTGACCTCTCAGCCCCATCGGGACCCAGGAGGGTGCGCATGGTCAGGGTGGCAGTGGCAGACAGCCCTGATACTGAGAGTCAAAGCTAGCACCAGTGTTTGCAGGTGTTCTACATAAAGAATTGCCCAAGATGGCACTGAAGGCCCAATATGCTAAACCCTAGACCACGCCCTTCCCTCGTCGTCCCCCACCCCATGAAATTCACAGTACAGAGGAGATCAGAACACAGTGGGGGTGGGGGGTGGGGGTTGTAAATGCTGGATAGGGTCAGGCTCAGGCCTCCTTGCTTAAGCCCAAGCTTAGTCCACACCCTTTCGGTTCTGAGAATGCATGGAGTTTGGGGGCTAGGGTACTATGTCTGGGGGGGAGGGGACGTGGGCTTCCTCCCCCCATGCCAAAGATCTTTCCATCATCTAGCAGCTCCCCAACTTTTGGTTTGAAGTCAGCGATGGGCCTTTTGTGGATGAAACGGCACTCCTGTTTTAGCCCAAAACAGACATGCTCCCTGCCGTCAAGTCATGCCGACTCACGGTGACCGTATAGGACGGAGTCAAACTGCCCCTGTGAGTTTCTGAGACTGGACCTGCTTATGTGAATGGAAAGCCACGCCTTTCTCCCTGGGAGTGGCTGGGGGTTTTGAACTGCAGATCTTGCCGTTAGTAGCCCAATACCTAACAAGTAAGCCACCTGATCACTACTTCAGCAGAGACCTTTAAAAGGATCATGTGGACATTAACGGTTTGTTGATAGTGGATGTGTGTCCCCTTGTGTACTGTGTATCTAGCCTTGAACCAGACCAGGGACTCTGGTGGCCATTTTCCAATGAGGTTGCTGAGACCACTAGTATCCAAGAGACCTCCTAAAGCCACACTGCCAGCACTGTGGTGACGTAGGTCCTGGCTCTGTCCAAGTCAGCCTGGCTCTGGCCCCTCTGCTGTAGGTGACAGCATCTCTGTGTAAAGGCAGACCTCCCAGTCCCCAGATGTCCCCCCTGGCTTCAGATGGTTCCACCATCTAAGTCACACTTGGCTGAGTCACGGTCACGCAGTGATGGTGGAGATCACTGCTGAAGAGCCTTTATGTCTACGCACTCTCAAGTCATTGAGCCTGATTTTGGAACATAAAGAGCAGACCAAGAAGACTTGGCTGGGGCGAGGTTGCAGGGCAGTGGTTCTCAAACTTCCTAGTGCCGCAACCCTCTCATACAGTTCCTCATGCTGTGATGACCCCCAACCATACAATTATTTTCATTGCTGCTTCATCACTGTCATTTTGCTACTGTGATGAATCAGACAATCCCTGTGTAAGGGTCATTCAACCTCCAAAGGGGTTGCAACCCTCAGGTTGAGAACCGCTGTTGCAGGGGAACTGCGTTGCCAGCAAGGGCTCCTGGGTTGCAGGGCAGTGTGGGTGCAGTTTGTGGGATACCTAGTTATGTCTTTCTGGCTGAGCCTTAGGTGAACTTGCTTGCACTGATTCCAGGCAGACTTATAGTGACCCTATAGGACTGAGCAGAACTGTCCCCTGTGGGTTTCCGAGACTACTTGTTACCAGGAATAGAAAGCCCTGTGTGTCTTCCACAAAGAAGCTGGTGGTTTTGAACTGCTGACATTTCTGATTGCAGTCCAATGGGAAACCCCTGCGCCCCCGGGGCTCCTGAGTCTAGGCTGTAGTAGATCCCCAGGTCTTTCACTTCTGCAACCCCTCTTAGACCATGTCCCAGGATAGCCTTTGGCAGTGTTAGACTTTCAGGAGGGTGTGGCTGTGCATTACATGCAAACACTCTCACTGAGA